AGCTCCCTTATGCTCAGGATGTATTTTGAGAGACGGAATTTGAATTTTTATAGCTGTATTTACAGATCACACAAATACTGATCCGTCTCACTGAAATAAATTTTGAATCACCAAAATTCACCGTGTTGTACTAGTTTACTGTGTACCTATTGTGAGTGAGCTCTATTGACTACATGCTATTCATAAGGCAGCCTTCACGTCCAGGCGAAGACCTTTACTAAAACCCAACGTAAGGAAAAGTCTTGAAACAAACGTCCTATTGAGGTTAAGTGTAAATGAGTGAGTGTGTGCTTGTGTATAGATAAGCAGGAAAAGGGTTGAGGAGAAAGAAGCAGAGTATGTATTTGAGAGGAAATTCTTCCAAATTCAACATGAGAAAATTGGTAATCCACGGTGCTCTTCAATCTGGTACAAAGTATCGCTTAAGTAAGAAGGCTTATCTTAGAATTCTCCGTATTCCTCAATAAAAGATAACTTTAAGAAGACAGAAATCAGGGCGCCTGGGTGGCTCAGTTGGTTAAGCAACTGCCTTCGGCTCGGGTCATGATCCCAGGGTCCTGGGATCGAGTCCCACATCGGGCTCCTTGCTCGGCAGGGAGCCTGCTTCTCCCTCTCCCTCTGTCTGCCACTCTGCCTACTTGTGCTCTCTCTCTGTCAAACAAATAAATAAAAAATCTTTAAAAAAAAAAAAAGACAGAAATCAAACAGTCCAAGCATTATAACCCAATTTTTGGTTCCGCAGAGCAGGGCCACGTTTCATGTTTTTCTAGCAATACGTTATTTTAATTTAATACGTATCAAAAAGGAAAGCCAACCAAATGGCATAACTCAAAAGTCGGATATGTTATACGGAGGAACATTTCTGTCCAATAGGAAAACAGCCCTCCCTGGCTCCTTCTCTTCTGAAATTGCATTGTTATTGACCTCTCCTATGGAGGAAGTTTCCCCATAAAAGGAGGCCGGCATGGCATTCGCCGCATATGTGAACAATTCCCACAGCAGGAGCATTAATGATATCTGGCAACTGCTACGAGCAGTTTTGTACATACCCTCTTACAGAACTGCCATTACTTGTGCTAAAGACTCAGCTGTCACGTCTACATTTTTGTCCAAGATAAGAATCTGCTAGTAGAGTCACCGAAGGGCCATGGCAGAAAAACCAAATGTGGAAAGCACTGAGGGTTGAATAAGCCATTGTGTTTTGGAACAAGAGGGCTGTATTCACGATGAAACCCGAGCAAAAACCAGATTAGAACAAAGCCTTAAAATTCAGAAAGGAGTCAAAAGTAGCTGAAAACTCACCCACATTTTTTTAAAACTACAATTTCCATGCTTGGCATCATTGTGTATGTTTCCATTACAACACAAAAATGTGGAGATGATATAAATTTATAAGGGAAGCACTTTGATATAAAAAGAGCTTTGTTGGGTTTTTTTGGGTTTTTTTTTCAATTTCTCCTAAACATTTAAAGCGCTTTTCGGGGAAACAGAATACCCTTCGTATTTTAAAAACCTCTAGAGTGAATTGAAGATTAATCAACCGTTTAACCATTCAATTTTATGTTTGGGCCAAAGATCTAAGTCATAGCAAACGAATATCATTATTTTGTACTTCTATCTCTCTGTACCCTTTATTCAACAGTTTCACAAATCACCTTATGTAATCCTTACAACAACACCATGAGGGGCGCCTGGGTGGCTCAGATGGTTAAGCGTCTGCCTTCGGCTCGGGTCATGATCTCAGGGTCCTGGGATCGAGTCCCACATTGGGCTCCCTGCTCCTTGGGAGCCTGCTTCTCGCTCTGCCTCTCTCTCTCTCTCCTGAATAAATAAATAAAATCTTTAAAAAAAAAAAAAAACAACACCATGAGGCAGGTATGACTGGTCCATCATCCAGATGAGAACACTGGTCTCAGTATAGAAGATATTAGTCATGTTTCTGGCTGATCAGCACCTTTGGAACAGCCTTAGTGTGGTTGGCTGATTTTTGGCTTGCTGAGTGCCGCTTTCTGAGTATAGAACTTAGGAAACCCAGTTCTCCAGATTCCTTTGCACCTAGGGTGACTTCAGTACCACCAATGATATTCGTCCTTGCAAAACTGGGATTCACAAGTGAGTAACGTGAGGAAGGACACGACCTACTGGTATGGATGTGATTTGCTTGTACTGGTCAGGACGGCAACCAGGGTGCCCAGCGTGGGGGGCCAAGTCTTACTGCAGGGCTGAGCCCCCAACACAGAGCAGCCCTGCTCCTGGCAGGAGCTGTAATCAGGAGGATTTCCTGGAGCAGCGCAAACCACAGCACCTGGTGCTCGGTGGGGCAAAACAGGCAGCAGCCCGTACGCTTCAGCCATTTCTGTTGCTTGCACTTAGGGACCCTGACTCATTTACTGAGGTTGTTGTGCAACACTGATTCCTTCTGGGTTAAGTCCTCTCTGGGCAAGCGACTATAAGGGTGAGTCCTAAAGGATGTATAAGATTCAACCAAGCAAAACTATGGGGAAAAGGGGAGGAATGGCATTCTAGGCAGAGGGCCCATCAGTGCAAAGGTCCTGGGGTAGAGAAGAACACCAGTGAGTCATGAATGGGGCTGGGAGAACTTAATGAAATGATGCCAATAGGTGGGCAGAGGCCAGGGCACCTCTGGCCTTGCATATCAGAAAAAATTTTCCTTATTAAGCCAAATAAATGTAGACATAAGCAACATACATTCAAAATTTCACTCTGAAAAATTTCAGAGTAAGACTAATTAATACCCCAGTTACAGGATAGGCTTTCAAACATGATAAAATAGTGGTCATCTTTTCCACACTGAAATAGTCCCAGGTTCTTCGTCTGTCTAAGTAATATTCCAGCTATATTAGTCTAGGAGTGAACACAATGGATTTGAACTGAAGAAACTTGGATTTGAGCCCTGATGCTAGTAATTCAATCTTAGGGAAATCATTATTATCTGGGAAGGTTGCCCACATCCATAATATACGGAAGAATCTGCGGCCCTCCGTATCTCATAGAATTATTGTAAGGTTCAAATGAGCCAGGAGATGTGGGATGTGGGAGCTCTACAGAACACTAGGTATTGTGGGGAGAGAGATATCATGATGATGGTAACAATGGTGATTATTGCTATAGTACAGTTTCCTAAAGCATAAATAGGGATGTCAAGATACTGTAGCTGTCAGGGCGCCTGGGTGACTCATCGGTTAAGCATCTGCCTTCAACTCAGGTCATGATCCCAGGGTCCTGGGATCGAGCCCTGCATCGGGCTCCCTGCTCCGTGGGAAGCCTGCTTCTCCCTCTCCCACTCACCCTGCTTATGTTCCCTCTCTTGCTGTGTCTCTGTCAAATAAATAAATAAAATTAAAAAAAAAAAAAAAAAGATACTGTAGCTGTCAATATTCCCAAATGGGTCCAGAACTAAATACAATATTTTTAAAGTAATTTGTCATAAGAAAAAAAATGCTGCGTGAGGTGATGGATGTTAACTAAACTTATTGTGGTAATCATTTTGCAACATATGCATCTATCAAATCCTTATGGTGTACGCCTTCACGCTATACAATGTTCTGTGTCAATTACATCTTAATAAAGCTGGTGGGAAAACTCAGCAATGTCAACCTTTTAGCATAATGCTCTAACCCCTTTTTGGGCCTCCTAACTAAAGACATACTTTTTTTTTTAAAGATTTTATTTATTTATTTGACAGAGAGAGACACAGCGAGAGAGGGAACACAAGCAGGGGGAGTGGGAGAGGGAGAAGCAGGCTTCCCGTTGAGCAAGGAGCCTGATGTGGGGCTCGATCCCAGGACCTGGGAGCATGACCTGAGCCGAAGGCAGCCGCTTAACGACTGAGCCACCCAGGCGCCCCAAGACATACTTTTCAATGAAAAGTCATTCAGAGAGCCACGTTGAAAACAAATGGCCTGATGAGAGTACTTGGATTTATTAAGAGTTTTCTATGTGTCAGATACTGTACTAAGTGCTAATAAAAAAATTTTAAATAAAAGGCATTTTATCAATGCAAAGCACTTTGTGATTTATCTTTCTAATCCTAAACTATTTCAGGATAAGGTGACATGAATTTTCTGGTTCCCATGGTTTTGACGTCAAATGAACTCACAATCTAGAAGATGTAAATGAATATATTACAGCATGATACATTGTTATAAAAGGTAGACCATCATTTTTAGAAGGACAGAGACCTTGCCTTAGTCATCTCTGTTATCTGCAAAATCTAGCACCAGTGCCTGAAACACAGTAGGCAAGAAATAAATTTTTTTTAAGAAATAAATTTTGGGGGACACCTGCGTGGCTCAGTCAGTTAAGCATCTGCCTTCAGCTCAGGTCATGATCCCAGGGTCCTGGGATCCAGCCTTATGTGGGGCTCCCTGCTCAGTGGGGAGTCTGCTTCTCCCTACCCTTCTGCCCCTCCACCCCCCAGCTCATGCTCTCTCTCTCTCTTGCTCTCTCTCAAATAAATAAAACCTTTTAAAAAAAAAGAAAAAAATTTTATGACTACTTGAACACATGTATGATGTATGAATTACCATATAAGAGTACAGAGAATATAAAAATAAATACTTTTATTATGAAATCAAAATATAATTAAATATAAAAATAAATACTTCTATTCTAAATATTGAAAATAATAATAATGATAGCTAACATTTATAAATACACTTACATGGTCCTAGACACTATGCTTCATGCTTCACATGGAGTGACTCAGGTAGTTACTAATGCCCGACCACGTGGATGGGAGTGGGGTAAATATAACAGGAAAATTTTGAGTTTTTAAGGATGACTTGGCCATCACAATTAAAACAAGGTATCTTCACCTGCATCTAGCCAAATCCTTCCCCAGTTTGAATGCTAAGGATAACCTGATAAATTACACTGTGAATTCTTAGAAACCCATCTAGTTTGGCTATCTACATGACCAAATCAACACATGAAAATCCATCACATTCTGAAAAAAATCAGTAATAACTTACATGACATTCCACAGCCCACCGCTGAAGGACATTCTAATGTTTTACAACTTTCCCAGTCAGACCGTGAGGAAAGCAATTTTGACCCGAAGTCAAAGAGGTGGGCATGAGTTCCCAGATAGCAAAGTAATCTGTAAGTTAAAAGAGAACGTTGAGCCAATACTCGAAAGTTGAAGTAGAAAGGGGTATTACGAAATGACAGCATTACTAAGACTTACTGTCAGAAAAGGAAGCACTTCCAAGAACTGTTTAATCCATTAAACTGTTGCCCGACTATTCAAGTATATTCAGAACTTCATTTGATCATGCCCTAATCTTCCCTTATATTTTAATTAAGTTTAGTTGGGCATATAAGTGAGTTTTGAGCCTAACATCCTAGGTTGAATAAGAATGGAAAGAATAGAAATAGGTCCATCACAGAAGGAAATGTGGGGAAAGGCAATCCTTGGGGATTCTTTGATCCTCAAGGGGAGGGCACCAGCAAGGTGACTAGGGTTGGTGGCATTAAGAAGTCATCTGGAAACACTTTGCACTTAGACTCTTCCTCAGAAGTGTGCCCATTCAGGGCGAAGCAAAGGATATGCCACGCGGGCAAGACTTTAATGTGAATGGTGTTCTTCTCAATTGTCATCTGCAGTCTTATTTCTGCATCCTGGTATCATGCCTTCAAAAAGATAAAAAAAAAACCTAATGATACATCTTGACTCACACTCTATTTAGAATATCCATATATTATATTTTGCCTAACTTGCATAACACTTGTCATTCACCACCTTATAATATTTTCAGTTGCGTTCTTCCCTGTTTATTCTGTCCTTCCCTCAGCCTTGTATACTGTATGTGAATGCGTGTGTGTATAAAGTTATTATACCATGTGTATATACAAGCAGCCTAAACCTGAATCTTAGTCTAGTGGTTTAAAGTTAGCGAAACTCAACATGAAGGACCAGATCTGCAGGATACTGCACTAAAATATTCTTCCTACTTTGGTCTCTAAGTTTTCACAATTGTGACTGTTGTCAAATTTTAAATATCCTTAATTTTCCAGGATTTTTTTCCCCCAAAGTCATTATTTCCTCCCACCCTCACAGCACAGGTATAAGTCACAGGCTCCCACACCTGCAAATCAAATCATCCATAGGCTATTGATCTCTAACAATACCTTCAGTTAATATTTATTTTATTCACCAGTTAAGGTGGTAGAGCGGAGGTAGGATACTCAGAACCCAAGCTCTGCAATCTGCAGAGAAAACGATTTCACATCCATACAATTGCTTCCTGCCAGTGGACAGCAGGAGTACAGCCTTGGGAATTTAAATGACCGATTTACGCAGGGAAAGAAAGCTTATTTTTAGTAAGTGGAGGGGAAAAAAATGTTGACTTAATTTATTTTACTGCCTGTGAATCTACTTTGGAAAGGAGAAGCAGAGTTTGATTAATTAGATTAGCAAATTCAGTAAGTTGTTTATTCAGTTGGGTGAATCAATGTTTCCCTGAATTTACTTTAGCTTTATTTTATGCTTTCAAATCTATCTAGTAGGTAAGATGTTGAAAGCCAAAAGCCTTTCTATCCCACAGCTCTTTCAAATATCTTTTCACATGTTAATTGGATCTCTTTGTGATTGGAGGCAGACAGAGTTCACAGCCCCTCCCCCCTCCCCTCCCATCCCCCCAGCCGGCATCGGGCAACACGCATATAGAAGGCAGAAAATTACAGATAATGGAAAACTGACTATATCCCTCTTTTTCATGCGTCTCAGTTTTTAGCATTTCTCCTTTCCTGCTGACTCTAGTTTTAAATGTTATTTCCACCCAGTATTAAAACTTAAATGAAATAAAATAAGAAGCTTTCTCTATTAATGACAGCGTATTTTAAGATCGTTAGAAAAGAATTATTAGAGTACACTGCTTTATTTTGTTTTAAATAGTTGCTAAATTTCTCAAATATTTGCTAGTTTTTCTTCCTTCTTTTAATGATCTGTCTTTCTTAGGAAGTTCCTTTCATCTGACTTGCTACACAAAATCATTCCTCATTCATTTGTTACTGAGATTTATAGGAGTACAGCTGTTCAAACAAGGACATGCCCATGAAAGCCTGAGAAAATTGGGAAATATAATCAAATTAAAATTCCAGCTATACATTCTTTTAACAGAGTGCAGACAATTTTTATATTTTATATTTAAAACATATTAAAATAAAAAGGACAAGCCCGGCAGCCACCATAGACTACATTTTTCCATTAACGACCTGGATGACACGTTCAAAAGGAGAAAAACATTAATTCAGCAACAAATCAAATGTGCCTTTCTAGAAGAGATTTTTTTTTTTTTAATTTAAAAAAAAATTGAAGATCCAAGAGAATGGGAGCTGGAGATCCTAGCAGTTGGGGACCATTAGAGATTATTTGGCTCAAAGTGACAGGCATAAAATATGAGTGCTGGTGACCTGGACATTAGAGTGTTGAGTGGCTTCTGATAAACACCAGACACCATTGATTTTCAGCTAAAGGTGGAACTGAAGTGCTTTTATTCAAAGGCTGCAAAAATCACCTTCTCCAAGGAAGTATACATCTCTCTCATTCTCTGAAAATGAAACAGATTATAGGATCACAGTCTCCCTCAAATTAATGAGGCATATTCAACTGGCCTTGAAATTCCAAAGTAGAGAGAAAAATCAAAATTGGAGCAGTCACCCTTCTGAAATTATTCCTTCCCTCTCTCCAGTGCATCTGTCCACTGGCTGAGCTAGCCAAGAATGGAAAGGGTTTTTCCATCAGTTTGTATTCATTCTTTTTGAATTACACTGAAAATAATGCCCACCTCCATAGATAAGTACTGTGTTTCCTAGTGATTAGAACAGCACCCTCTTCCCAGAGCTGCTCAAGATCCTGCAATCACCAAGTCCTATTTAGAACCTACCTAACAAAAATCTTCCCACTCCAACCATTTTTCTGCATTCCTACAGCCCCGCCCCTCAGAGGGCTACTGTTCTCTCCCAACCGGATCAAGGCAGAATCTGTCTGGTCTGTCTTCAGGTTCACCCCAGCCACTCTTCACACACAGGCTACCCTGATCTTTCCAGGAAGCAAATCTCTTACTGGCTTTAGGGTGAATCCCCAACACCTGAACGGAGCTCCAAGCACCATCAGGCTCCGCACCAGGCTCCCTCCCGCTCCCCCTGCTTCTACCCCACACCTCACAGTACTGCCAGGCTAAGCCAACCGGTTTAATTCTCCTCGCTTGGACACTGGTGCGCACACACGCACACACACACTCACACTCACCCTGGGCTCTGGCACACCATCCCGGTGCCATCCTTCTCCTCCTCCTCCTTTCCCTTCCTTTGGTTGACTTGCTCTTCATCAATTCTCTACTTAGACATACTTGCTCCAAGAAGTCTTTTATCTAAGTCTGGGGCAGATAACCCACCTGAAACTCTCTCCCGAATTTATCCCATCAGAGCATTTCCCACACTACATTCCAACGCTGTTGCTATTTGTACATCTCTCCCCCAAACGCAAACTCCATTAAGATAAGGGCTGAGTCTACAAAGTTCAACATCCAATTCCCAACACCAGTCCCCAGTGGAGGGCCTGGCACTTTGTTAGTGATCAAGATAAATATCTATTGAATAAATAAAGATTAATTAATGACAAAGTTTTCACTCACATGGTCCGGGAAGTCTCCATGTAAGTACTGTCCTAGACATGGGCTGCAAAGAGGGCCTCTTTTTTGGAAGTTTCCTAAAATTTAACCTCTTAGCCTAGCACTTAGGTGTTCAATAAATATGTGTTACTGGATGAAGAAACCAACAGGGCAACAATGCTACTAAGTACATGACAAAGTGGAATTGTTTTTACTTTTTTAGGGAGGCTCTGTGCTGGGCCAGGGTTTGAACCCATGATTCTGAGATCAAGACCTGAGCGGAGATCAAGAGTCGGACATTTAACTGACTGAGCCACCCAGGCGCCCCCTGGAGTTGTTTTTATTAAAACTACTTGCCAGGCACCGACCAGGGGGCCAGAACATGTCAACCCAGTCATGCTGGTTGTACCGGGTCTAAGTACTTATACCACCAACCACCAAACAACCTAGATTCAGTATTTTGAATATTTGCTGTTGCCCCTATTTTATTAACACCGCTGGTCCTACTCTTTGGACATCGGTCCCAGGGAAAGCCAACTTAAGAAGGACAGCACTCATAACAGTGTTGGTCTTTCTCAGATCCCCAAGTCAAAATGCCAAAATGAGAAACACATCAAGTTCACCTTTGTTTCTCTTAATTCTAAGCAAACAAATAAATAACCTTATATTCAGGAGGAGCTCCTCACTTTCTAAAATGGTTCTGCACTAATGTGGCAGCAGTCACCATGCCCTACGCTAAATTTTCGCAGAGCTTCCCTCACAATTTGTTGGAGTGGATGAAATAGCTCCTCTGGCCCATTATGGTCCCCATTACTGTTTACCTCAGGCCAGAACCCAGATCTAGGTGTAGATATTTACTATAAAAAAAAAGTGGTAGTCATGGGGCGCCTGGGTGGCTCAGTCGCTTGAGCATCCAACTCCTGGTTTTGGCTCAGGTCATGATCTCGGGGTCCTGGGATAGAGCCCTGCATCCAGCTCTGCACTCAGTCAGGAGTCTGCTTGTCCCTCTCCCTCTGCCCCTCCCCCTGCTCACGCTCTGTCCTCTCCCTCTCTCTCTCTAATAAATAGATAAAATCTTAAAAAAAAAAAAAAAGTAGTAGTCAGAACCTGCTTTCACCCATTCAAAAGCACCCAGTATGCACAAGAGAAAATCCAAACTACTTTGAATGGCAGCTTTAAAAACCTGGTGCTTTCTTTCCTTACCTCTTTTAGGCCACTTAACACATTAGTTATTGTGATTACTACTCACGTATCTACCTGCCCTACCAACTTGAGAGCTGCTTATAAGCAGAAAACCACTTCTCATTCATATTTTTATCTTAGTGTATAAAATAATACCTAGCATATGATAGTCAATGAATTTAGATTTATTTATTTATTTGAGAAGGAGAGAGAGAATGAGCAGTGGGGAGGGGCAGAGGGAGAGAGGGAGAAGCAGACTCCCTGCTGAGCAGGGAGCCTGATGAGGGGCTCGATCCCAGGACCC